TCGCTTATGAAAAGATGTCTTAAAGTGTCCTCTTTCTAATGCTGAAAACCACACTTCATTATCTATCTCCCGCGAGGAGTTATTCAAAAAGCAACCGACTGCACGACCATTTGGTACGGATAGTAGTGCATTTTAAACGCACAACGGAGTCTTTACCTTTTTTTATTGCTGATAGTCTCTGACAATTCATCTTTTAACTGTTCCGGTGTGAATTGGATCGAAGAGATATTGTTATTTAGCAATAATTCTGTCGATTTGGTTTCTTGATCCGTTTCTTCATCAAAAGAGATTGAGGGTGAATAATCTAATAATCGCTGATCAACACTATTTTCTGATACAGTAATAGATTTTTTTCTTTCGATATATGAAACTCCACCATCAAACTATAACAGTAGACGTTTGACAATGCTCGATACTGAGTATATCTTCGAAAAGAAAACGTTTCAAAAGTCTCTTCAGTTACGCAACATCTCGTACTTGATAATGTTTTCTGTCTCTTGATCTTTCCTTGCCAATCCATAATGATGATTGTCTCTCTTGTAAGAATGATGACCTGTCATTTTTGTTTTCCATTGAATCACGCAGTTTTTCGTCACTATTTTTCGATAATGTTGATGATGTTGGTACGAGTAGTGGACTATCTAAACTTGGTGTATCCTCTTTCATTTCAACAAGTCGTCTACTATGACAACAATTAATTTGATTAGGAATCATTTCAATTAGAGTTTTGTTTTTCTCTGATATATTTGAATATTTATTTGAGAGTAAATAACGAAATGTTTTTTGTTTATACAGTAGTGTTTGAATTATATTCCAACAATCATTATTAGTATCATTTTTGTCCTTCGATAATGATAATAAATTATCCAGTTTTTCATGTAAACTTGTTTCAAACTGCTTTTGTTCACTTAATATCTTTTGTTTTAATTCATCACATTCATTACTTGAATAATAGTTCAATAAATGTTGAATATGTTTTTCAAATATAATTTGCTGTTTAATGATTGTATCTGTTATTAACCAATTGTCGTGTTTTGATGATAATTGTTCAAGTTTGTGTTTTAAATTTTTTTCATATGAATTTTGTCGTTTCAAGATTGAGGATGCCGATATTTTTCGTGTCTGTTTTTGTTGTTGTATAACGCGAGTATGAATTTCATCCGATTTATTATCATTATCCTTTAATTTTGCTTGGAAAAGATTTTTGAACGATTTATTCTGTTCTAAAATATATCTTTTATTCAACAGTACTGGCTCTTCTTTCATTGAAATTCGTTCAGTTAATGCATCAGAATAAACCGAGGTATGAACCTTAGTTAGTATTGGTGATATGGCAACATCCGACAAACTTTGCCTTGATATACTGGAGTTATCATGTTTGAAAATTGGAATATTAAATTTTGATGTTTGATTAGTTCGGAAGTCATACCGAATTTGATCAATGCTGCCGTCTTCCATTTTATTACGGTCAGTTTCGTTATTCTTGTAGGTACTATGTGATAGTTTGAAAAATTATACAATGAACAATTGTCCTTTCGTGTATAAAATCGATAGATCATCGTTTCAACATTGTGCTTCTGCTTTAATCAAAATAACAAAAAAAAAGATTTTTGCACGATAGGTTCGAAGAATAGTTTATAATTCATTCACTTTAACATAAATATACTAACAAAAATACTAACAAAAAACGTTGACCGATAACTGTTCTTTACTTTTTTTCGTATTCTGACTTGGCGCTAGTCAGCTCGTCAAAATAATCATATGTTCGATATAATTGCAACAAAATCTCGAAAGAGACATGGATAGGATCGTTGTAGGAATGATTTTATTATAAAAGAAGAAAAATATCGCTAGGAGCTATGTGAACTTCTTTTCGTTAATTTGAACACATTTATTCTCTTGATGCTCTCTTTAATGGTAAACTTAGGAAGATTGAAAAAGCCGACTATTTCGGAAATTTATATTTCAAGTTTTGAATTGAACAACACATTGTTATGAAAAATTCTTTCTCCGATCGTGTAGAAATTAGATTCTTTGTCTGACTCATTAGCCTTTATCACTTTTCGGAATTGAGTGGATTTTGACAATATGTAAGACATTCTACAGATACTTTTAACTGTTTGAAAAAATTATATATTCGATGGTTGTTGTTTTTTTATTGATAAGTAGAGACAGAAGATTTAGAGCATTAACTTGATACATACGTACTATAGATAGTTATCTATCTGATGATGGAAACCGCATTTCCACAGCAACAAGATTGCTAAAATGGCAAACAGTACTATTTCCTGTAGATGAATTAATTTTGACCGCTACTATAATTGTTTTAAGAGAGAATTTAATTAATCCTCAAAAGTTAGAAGTAAAAATACTGGTAACAGTTGTTCATGTTAATATTTTTTAGAAATTGTTCGATATTTGTAATGCGATGCTTTCATTTCTCTCTGCTTGTACGATGTATATCTCTAATTTATATGGATTCTACAGCATAGAAAGGAAGAAAAAGTTTAAAACTTGGATTCAGTTTGTGAATTTCTGACGCTAGAATAATAAACATTGTCACCTCATTATTCCTACTTCTAATTAAAATCGAATTAATTACTTTATCAGATATTCTCTCAATCTAGAAAAAAATTGATGCTATAAAGTTTTCTGCTATAAGACTTAGGATATCAAAAACCAGACTATTAATTCTGTTTTATTTCTTTTTTTACAGATGAATCAACAACATTCAGAATTTCGTGCTGTTCATGAAAGAGTGCCATTGGAAATTGATCCTGGTATAATATACAAAATAATTTGAATTCATTACCGTGTTCTACGAAATTTATATTAGATAGAATATAAATTTGTTTTGTTTTTTGTATCTCGAAATACTCTAATATACGGCTTGTCCACCTAACGGTCTCCTTCATTTCAGGAGTTTGCGTGAAATTTTTTTTCCCTATTAGTTTTGTGACACACATCATTAAACGTACTTTTTCACGCTGATTACGAATCAGAGGTTGAAGACTGAAAATTTCAATTTTAAAGTGGTTTTTGAACTTCAAAACCTATTTTAAGATTAAAGTTTTAAAATTCTGAGATCGGATTCAGAATCAGAATGTATCAAAACCTTCATTTACATGAGAGAGTTTCTTGAGTTCAGTAAAATCTATCTGCAAAAATGGACGCCTTTGGGAGCTCGGAGGTCTTTTTCAAATAGAAGTCAAAAATCGGGAAAAGAAGTTGTACCCTTAATTCGAGCGAGGTTCATCAGCATTTCGTCCGGTCAACCGACTGTATCACGTGAAATTTCTTCCAGTGAAACTTCGCAATGGGAAATAATCACCGTATATTGAACCACGAAAATCGAAATCCCGGAACGAATATGGAATTCCATTACGGACGTAGTTTTACTCTTTTTTCCGATCCAGACATCCTTAGACAAAACCAATTAGATATTCTGAAAGCCTGAAGAAAATTCTACAAGTTTCATACAAATAAGGTCTTCCTGTGATGTCTAATTTTCACATATTATATGTAATAACATTTTCTTGTTTTTTCTATACTTGTCTTTGTTTTGATTTTAGTATCAGTTTTACCAGTTAAAAATGGTGTGGTGTTCAATACTATTTTGAAAAATGTTCAATCAAGTCTGATCAATAATGATATGAGTAAAATTTTGAACTGGAAGTTTCACAGTATTCATATGATATGTGATCCGCAAAAGACAAAAAAGTTTATTCAAAAATTATCAAAAATGCAGGTAAGATTTTACTTTGAATAATAATGCCATCAACAAAGAACATTTCATGAAATATAATCTGGGTTCATTATATGAAACAAATATTAATTAATTACAACTGACAAATATTTCCGTTTGGAAAGTACATTTGCCTTATCATATTAGTTCTCTGTTTCTGTTTGTAGCATTTATCATCGCCAATAACTACGAGAGTATTTTATTCGAAATTATGTATTGAAAAAGATCAATTAGCCACATTTGGAGTGACTATAAATTTACCGCTAAATCCACGTCGAATCGTGAACGGAGTTTTTTTATATAAGAGTATAGATGAGCTATTAAGAATAGAAAAAAGTGCGAATGTTGCTCATGTTATTCAATATAAAGTATGTTTCAGGTTACTGTTTTAGAAAAAATTATATTATATATTTTTTTTGTACACAGTTACTCATCTATGAAAAATGCAAAAATCGAGAGTTGATCAACGAGCCACGTTCATCGATGACAAATAAACGATTGGTAATAAGATACTTTAAAACTAAAAATAAAGTTTAATTACATGTGTATTTGAAATTTTAGTATACATCTTTTGATTTTGATCTTCCAATTCCTGGTTTTCCAAAACAATTATTACCACTGGCTATTATAACATTCCAACGTTCACTGGATGTTAGTCTATACGATTTTTTAAATAACTTTTTCGATGATAATGAACAACATTGTCAATTGGATCAATCGTTTCTTATACCATCATTTGTTGGCGAAGAAAATGTAAGGGAAGAAAACCAAGAAAATCAACAATTAGAACAGGACAATGATGGTAAAAGATGTATCTTCTAAAATGATGCTTATTATTGTTGATATTTCTGTTTTAGTATTTATTGAGAAACCTCCAGAAAAAATTATACCACGAAAGATTAAAACAATTATATTAAGAGAACAAGAACAAGAAGATACGCTAGAAACGCATCATTCTAGCTTAGTCAAAGAAAGTGAAGCAACACTGGTAGAAGATATATTGAAATTACCATCAACATCTCAACCTCAATTAGAACAACAAGAAAAAGAAGATGAAAGTCTTCCATTACAATATAGAAATTGTTATATCTCAATACCACGAATTGATTTATCGTTGTTTGATATCAGCAATACACCTCGTTCATCGACAACAAATCAAAAATCAAAACAAAAGCTAATATTATCATCTTCTTCAACTACCAATAAGAAGCAACCCATAATAACAATAACAACAAATCAACCATTGAAAAAACTTTTCAAGCCGATTTCTGTTGAAAATAAACTCGACAAAAAATTAACTTCAATTAAAAAATTACCACTTGATATGTCAAAAAAATCGTCAACCATGACAGTGAAAACATCAACAACAATTCCAATGGAGAACATAAAAATTTCCCATAATCAGAATAAACCGATGTCCAAATCTAGTATGGAAAAAAAATTATTAAAACGTTTGTCGACAACAACACCAACGATAACCGAGAAAAAACCGTTAAAATTAATAATAACATCATTATTAAATGGTAATCCAACAGTAAAATCATCCAGCGACACAAACACGCCTCAAACAAAAGCAAGTCCTGTAAAACCACCGATGATAGCTTCTTCACCCGTTTTATTAACTCAAGCTTCATCAACTGTTTCCTTAATCCAGAAGCCATCACCTCCTCCTAACATTAAATATAGATGGGAAGAGTGCTACATTGATTTACCGCGTCTTGATTTATCTCAATACGATATCGATCTGCCGTCACCAATTAGATCCATTTCACCTATACAGTCAGCAAACAATAATTCAGGTAAGAGACAGTAGAGCTTTTAGAGAAGAAGAATATATCCTTTCTTCGAGGGTGTTAAGTGAAGATCAACTGAAGTGTTCGAGATCTTCTGTGGTTTACTTCGAGTTTCTTGTTCTAGAGTGTACATGGATAAGCACTCGCGTATTGTTTATCTTAAGATCTAGTTCCAGTGTCCATCATGCTTTCGTCAAAGCTGACATTTAGCTTTTACAACTTCTACCTAAGTTTTTCAAAACTTTTTTCTGAAATGAAATCCAGAGAACTTTGAACGATGATATTAAAATCTAATGCGATCCAGCTCACGATTCATTCATCAGTATAATCGGGGAAAAGTTAACAAATCGTTTCTCTTGTGAAAACTGGTGAACGAAAAAAGGCACGTTTATTCCACGGTAGTACATATCCGCAAACATCTGTAATATGGCATTTTCTTGTGTGTTCGCATACTTCAATATTTCTTCGGAGTAATATGTGTTTAACGTGCAGTTGACAGGAAGTTGACCTAAACCAATGGATAAAAACTCGGCTCCCGATCGTACAAGGGTGCTGAAAGTAGCAGCGGAAACTGTAGATGTTTCAGAAGGAATATCTTGGTAGTCTATATTGTACTAACATCTGTCTCTGTTTTCAGAAACAGATGTAGAAAACATACAACTTCCCTTCCTTATTATATCATTCCATTGCGTTTGAAAATATTCTGTATGTACCAAAACTTCAGTCTTTTCTGTTTAGAAATGAACAGAAAGATACAGAAAAAGGCACATTGTCTACCGCAGATATTGAAAAAGGCTGTAAATGCGCAAATTACGGAATCATCCTTCGTAGAATCACCGAATGAACAAGTTCTCTTATCCCCACAACATCAACAGCAAGAACTATCAACATCAGATATAAAGAAGTATGTTGAAGAACTAAGCATATTAACAAATGATGAAAACGTAGAACCAATGGATTTTGAGGATGAAAAGCAAATATTTTTCAATGCTGATGAAAATTTTTGGAATTTTGCAATACAGCCATCCGAAATGCATACACCAGAATCAACAACAACGACGACTATTGATTTACATCAACAAGAAGACAAGCAAATCGATAGTTTTCTTTCATTGAATGTAGTACTGGAGCAGGATGATGATAAAAATAATTTAGTTGAAGGAGTATCTAGTACACGGACGAGTTTGTGTTTAAGTCAAACTCCTTTTTCATTACCAAATATTAGTTCATTTCTATCACCAACGAACGCAGTCACCACTAGTCGTCCAGATTCACCTACTACTGCTGCTGCTGGTTCGTATTTTCATTTATAATTTTTTGTTTTGTCTCAACTGATACAACGTCTATGTTGTAGATTTGGAGACATCATCGTCATTATTATTGCTAAACGATATAACACAGTCTTCGTCATTCTTTTCAAATGAAAATATGCAATTTCACGAAAACAAGGTAGAAATGAAAACGATGCATTAGTATTCTTTTGTCATCTATTTTGATAAAACATTTCCCTTTCCGATAGGTTCAAACAACTATTCAGCTCAAAAACTGAATAGGACTGGATATTTTTGGAATAAGCCACAAGAGAAAAACAGAAAAATGTCTTGCGGTTCGCGCCATTTTGAAGCCACAATTTGAGTGCATTAGCGGTAGGGAAAAGATAGAAAAAAATCAAACTGATCTTTCATAGAGCAGAGTGAAGAAACGATGAATCGTATAGTCTAATAGCTGGGTTCAAACTACTAGACTCTTCTCTAAGAAATCATGCAAGTCTTAGATTTCTATCTATTATCGTTCGTCTGTGGTGCAGCACGTTTTCGTTAGAGCACGTGGACATCATGGATTTCCAACTATGGAGACTTAAAAATAATTGAAAACATAGACTTTTGACCTTTCTGAGTCGTATATCAATGTTTATTCTTCGAGTTAACTTCAAAATCCTAGTGGAAACTAGAGATGTACATGATAGCTGATTGTCCAACCATGGCCGAACCTTGCAGGGTAGAATAGGATCAGTTGGCTTATAAAAAATTATCGCCAATGAAGAATCCTCAAAATTTTCAAAAGGTAGGATAGGGGTAGGGTTGGACAATCAGCTATCCTGTACATCTCTGGTTTTCACTAGGATTCTGAAGTTGATTCGAAGAATAAACACTGCTACACGACTTAGAAAGGTCAAAAGTCTATGTTTCCAATTGTTTTTAAGTCTCTCTAGTGGAAAACTGCGATACCCAAGTGCTCTAAGAAAAACCTGTTGTGCCACAGACGAACGATAATAGATAGAAATCGAAGACATGCGTGATAGCTTAGAGAAGAGTTTAGTAGTTTGAACCCAACTATTAGACTATAAAATTCATCATTTCTTCACTCTGCTCTATGAAAGAGCAGTGTGGTAGCCATCAAAATATTTAGTTCAATTCAATTTTGAAAGCATAGCACAACAACAGTCACTTGTTTTGTATAGTTATACTTGAACAGTTGAATCTTCTTGTATAATTGTAGTAAAAATATCGTTTTCTTAAATGGCTTTACATAATAAGAAACGTTTATTCCGATCAAGTGTAGTATTTTCAGAATTTTAACCTTGTTCAGTGGCATATTATTTTTTTCTGTTAAAAAGAACGTAATATCTAGCGTTGTTTCTCTCCTAACAATAAAGTGAATTTGTTGCAAGTTAAAAATGTTATATCATCTTGAACTTTTTATATGTTAAATAAGCTGCGTTTATTTCACACGATACGAAATGTTAGTAAATGAGATGAAATACTCACTGTTCAAATCTCGGAATGAACCAAACTAAACACACTTTTGCGGATGTTTTTTTTGTAACTAATTGTACGCTGAACATTTCTTTAGGACATTGATCAAATGACTGATATTAAACCTATACTCGATTATGAACTACCAAAAGTATTAAATGTTTCATATTGTGATTATCCGGCTAATCGTCAACTATTACCATTATTTTCAAATATTAACTCACCATCGTATTCACCATTATCAATTCCATTAATTTCAAATTCAGTATTGCTAGCTGATCCACGTATAGTTCCGTATGTTGTTAGAAAAATGTATACACTACCTATAAAAAATAAATGTCTTCTGTGTCCACCATCGTTCAAAACAACTAATATTGATTTATCATCACTAATTAAAAAAGAAATTCCCATGGAATTGATCAGTTCTGAAATTGTCGTTTGTGATCCTAGACAAAATGCGTTAGAAATGAAAATTTTAAATTTATTGTACGATCTTGTAAAACACTCGATACCGTCCGATATTTGCCTCAAGTTCAAAGATTTATTATATCATCAAACAATATTTAAAACAAATTGTGTTCATCATCGTCAATTATTAGTTCAAAAATTAGAACAAGTTAAAACGATTGATAAGTTAAACGAATTAGAACTCGATAAAGAACTTGAATTTCCAAATACAATTAAATTGTTATTCCATTAACAATAAATATTATGAGAGATAGTGTTTTTCTATATTTTTTTCTTTTGAAACTAGAGATTATTTTACTCGATTTTCCTTTGTTTTTTGTTAGTGATTATTGTTATGATTTACCTTCCTTGTTTTTCTTTTCGATTTATTGTTATAAATGTACAAAACACTGTGTGATATGATACTAGTTATGCTATTTATATTTTTTTTTGTTTTTTGTATTTTAAGAAAATGTGAAAGACTTATTTTTTTGTTCTTCTGTGTGTGTATTATATCGGTGTCTTAAATATCTTGTCATTTTTCTAATATATAGTGTGTGGTTTTTTATTTAAAATAAAAATGCAAATGAAGAACGCGTCAATTTATTACGAATCCTAGAATAGAATTATAAGTTTTTGATACAATTAAACAAGTAATGATAAGGAGATTTTGGAGTTACAATTAGCTGATTTTACTATTTCTGAAATTCTACCTTTTTCTTCTCAGGTATTTCGAAAATATATCCTTGTTGCTATGCCGTGAGTCGAATACAATGGAGTTATTCTCATCGCTTCCTGGATAATTCGTGCTATAATTGTGCCGTTGCTGATTGTTGGGAAAATTCGATGTTGAAGGATAGACTGTATCCTTGTTGCTGGATACATGGAGATCTCCATGTGACTTTTTCCTCTGGGGGCATTTGAAAGACACGGTGTTTAAACAGCCACTTACTTCCATTCAAGAACTTAAACAGAGAATCGAAGAAGCTTGTGAACAGATACCAGAAGAAATGTGTCGCAAAGTATGTCGTTCTGTTCAACAGCGCCTTCATGTCTGTATGAATAATGGAGGACAATTTGTCTCAAACTAGGCTTACATATCAGTTACATTTCTCATTAAATAAATAAAAGAATATACTATAGCATCAGCATATAACTATGAGACAAAACCTCGTTGTAAAGTTTACTTATAGCGTTAAAAAAATTGTTTGTTTTATGTTCATAAATGGTCTGTTTTGTGATGAATAGACACTTCTATCCGCTTACTATACCCAGAAAAAAATCAGCTCATTTGGGTAAAGAATGACGAAAACATTGAACATTTTCTAACTCTAAGGACTTTACGGACACCCTATATATCACCTTCTAGATGCGAATTCAAACGAGCAGTTAACTGATCACAAGCAAAAAGTTGAACTCTTAAATCAACATTTTGCTGCGGTTTGTTCGATGCCGACCACAGAAGCAATTGATATTCCAACAGTAATTCCAACGCAAAGTAAATTTGCAATGTCAGGCTTTTCTGTTTTGGAAACCGAGGTATTTGAGCTGTTGGCTAAAGTTGATTGTAACAAGGCTAGCGCGCCGGGTTTATCAGCTAGAATTGTCCGAGAAGCGGCTCCGATTATATCACCTATCATCACTTATTTATTTAATGAATCGTTAAAACAAGAATTGTTCCCTCAAAAGCGGAAAACTGGCTAGGTCACGGCAATTTTTAAGTCTGGTAATCCACATGAAGTAAATAACTATCGACCAATAATACTACTGCCGATTATTTCTAAGGTATTTGAGCGATTAATTTATCGTAAAGTGTATGGTTATTTAATTAAGTATCAACTGTTAAGTGCTAATCATTTAGGGTTAGTACTGAAGTGTAATCTCGATTGGACTGCTTATGTTGATTATGTTTTAAGTAAGGTAAATTCATTAATTTGATTGTTGAAACTTCATACTCGTGCTCTTTCTAGACAGGCGTTGGATTTAGCGTACAAGTCCTTAGTATATGTTTACTTATGCGTCAGTTATATACGGAAATACTACCGATAAAAACTTAGGCCGACTTGAGTCAGCACAGTATAAGGCTGCTCGAGCGGTTTCTGGAGCAATGATGTATAGTTCAAAGGAACGAGTCTTCAAAGATCTGAGATGAGAAGCTTTGCGTGAAATTTCCAAACGACATAGGTTAGTTTTATTTCAAAAAATAGTTACGAGAAAAACACCTTCCTTTTTAAAAACCTTGTTACCTTCACGTGCTCATACCTCCTATCAATTTTTCTTACTTTCTTCGAAATCGAGAAAGAATGCTTTTACCTACACCACGATGCCGTTTAAATATGTTATACGAATCAATGATGAATCGAAGCGCCAGAGATGCATTCAAAATTGAAACTCGAATGACTTTTCGTATAGGAAAATTTAACACACGTTTATCGCCTAAACAACAGCTGCTTAAAATACCATTAATTGACAACAGGAATGTTGAAATTACTTATTGCAGCTTTAGAGTTGGCATTTCGCAGCTTCGAAAAGACTTATTTCGACGGACTTTGGAACGTAATCAGTGTACTACTAGAGAATTACATATTGTCGTCGAAGCCGTGAACGAATACATCCAGGTGACAGATCCCTTCACTGTTAAAGACTGAACTATCATTTTCCTTTTCATAAACCACATGTGCTCTTGTGACGTATACCATCTCAAAGGTACTGCTATGTCTGTGTACTGAAGAAATCTGTGTAGAATTCTGCTGTTGCGGATTGCTCGGATACTTCGATCTTGAAGTGATGCCTGTATCGTTGTCCATGTACTGTGAGTCGAGTACACTAATGGAGCTATTGTCATTGCGCTCTGAAGAAATCTGTGTAGAATTCTGCTGTTGCTGATTGCTCGGATACTTCGATCTTGAAGTGATGCCTGTATCGTTGTGCATGTACTGTGAGTGG